ATCATTTATTGACATACCCGTATTACCGCGAAATAACGACCATGGGCGTTATTTCGAGGTTCGGCCCGAATTAAGCTAAATTTAGGCCGAAATTTGTAATTTCACCCCTGCGCGCTATTTCGCGGTAATACGGTAAGTTAGAATAGTTTAGTTATTGTTGTGGTGTATATTTGTGTTAACTGTATTTTGACCTATACCTAGTCCGAAACATTTTCGCGTGCATGTTTCTTGATTTCCATAAACTCAAATTTCATGCGTTGAAGAATTCTATTTGGTTTGAAGTTTCAGGCGCAATTACAGATATTTCTTATTACCCAAAACTTTCATGAATTAATTCTACGTTTGTGGCAATCAAATATTTGTAACTTTAGATTTCGATGAACAAAATGGATAATTCAGTTGTTCAGACTTTACATTTCTCATATCATTGCGTATGTGCTGATATTATGTTCTCAAATTGGTCTTTGATTTAAAAGCCAAAATACAGAAACCTTATCCACAATAATTATTGACAAAGGCGCGTATATGTGCATGCATTATTAAAGTTGTTAATGGGTTTAATTTGGTTGACCCAATCTTTAACCCAAGCCATTAAATTAGCATTTTCTTTGGGTTTCTCCATGTTGTTTCAAATTTAAAGAAATAATTTAAACTCATACCAACTTGGATTGGATTCTACTCCGGAGTGCTCCGGAGTAAGCTACTCCATTAACAACCCTAACGATGCTTAAGTACTCATTAACAATATAATATGCTAGTAATCACAATACAATAATCGGACTGTTATGGTATGTCAAATATTTAACAAAACTTTTATTACAATTACTGTTTTAGGGTGTAGCACTTTGTGGAGAACTTAGAAATTATTTAATAACTATGCCTTCTGAGGACATAGAACAACGAATTGAAATTTTGGTTGAATCTTATATTAATATTGAAAAATAAATTGAATTATAAGGATATATAAGGATATATGAAAGAACATTGATAAAGCATTACTTGCCACAGTAGATAAAGGCTTATTTTACGAATTAATGACATTAATATTATTTAGCAAGCAATTAATTATTTACGAACTTGTAAACATTAAGAATCCTCAAATTCCAATAAGAAGAACTGAAATAAAACCAACAAAAATAGTAATTGCGCCAATATGAGGTGAAACCATAGCAATAGCAACAGAGCTAGCCGTAGTAGCGTTAATCACTTGAATATCAGCACATTGATACCAAGAACCAGTACCATCAGATAACTTAAAAACAGCTTGAAGAACACCTTGAGAACCAACGGTTGCGTTAGCTCTATTCAAGTTTACAGTAACTGACTTTTGAGCGTTCGCGAGCTGAGAATACGTTTCAGGGTCTTGATTATGAAGATAAACAATGAATTAAATAAACAGTACACACATTTACTCATATAAAACACATATATGTTAAATAATTTACCTGATACTTGAAGAAAAGTGGAATTTGTATTAGGAGCGTAATTATAAGTAAGAGTTCCATCACCATCATAGAAGAAACTTGTAGCACGTCCTTGTGCTATATGAAATAAATATAACATTATTAATATTTGGCTTATTTAGAGAAATAGTCAAATGAGCTTTAATAATTTTAACATACAAACAGGAAATTTAGTTATTGCGGATGTATTGACCGAGTTAAACCCACCACATGGAGTGTTTGGCTCTGTAGTTTCATCAAAACCTCTAGTCGGAGGATTCTGCAATTGGTAGTGGGAATTTGCAACATTAAAAATAGCGAAAAAAACCAAAAGGTAAGAAAGGATAGAGTTCATAATAATAGTGTTTATTGTTATTGTTTAAAGTTAAAAACCTAAGCTTTGAAGGGAAATCAAATTTAGCACATATTTATAAATATACAAATTTTCAAGTATCCTTATTTAAACATTCGAAAACATTCATAATTCTATTAAGATCCATGCACTACATGTGTTACACTTTTTCGTACTTACATGTTAATGGTTAGTTACAAAAGTAACAGCTTTAATGCCATGGACAAAAGCCTGTTTTGATGGATCTAAAATTTATTTTGTTTATTCTTTTCCCGAATTATATTAAAATTAGGCAATATTAGGGATAGATCCGGGTTTACAAATTTATCGTTGACCGCATGTACAGTATAAATAATATTTTTAGAGTACAAAATCGTGATACATAAAATTGGGGTCTACGATAAATGTCTAAATGTGTAAATGTGTAAATCCGGGTCTATTCTAAGTGCATAGTGCATTTTTAAAAGTGTTCGTAATCATTATCAACTAAAAACGAAGTGCAACAAA